AAAGCCCCTATTTACTCACCCCAAAACAGCACCAAATGAGTGTCTTTTTACAAGGAACTACAATGCAACACATCGTCTAACTTAATGGTTTAGTTCTTTAGTCAAGCACATATATTGTCAAAGACAACTTTGTTTCCTGGTGGACTGAGAAAAAACATGCAAAGTAGGAATTTATGATGCGTCAATAATGCATATTCCATCACATTGTCAGGGGTATGTTTAAATCTGTTTAGTTTAATTGTGTTTTGGTTTAATTGTCCCTTTTATCAGTGTTCCTGTTCATTATTAGTTTCCATGGTTTCTGATTAAACACGCACCTGTTTCTGTTCCAGTTAATTTTGTTCTTAATGCTGCCTTTACGTGCTATCGGAATTATGAGTTTCCTAAAAATGGACATGAACGCCCTCCCAAGTTGTTTTTAGCACTGGGAAGCTCTGGGATAATTTTGATTTCCAAGTTCCCGAGTTGGGCAGGCAATAAACTTTAAACATGGCGGAGGGGTGAATGATTGCTTCTTCATTACTTTTTTCCAGAACAGCTACATCACCTTGTCTTGTCGTTAAAGTGGTGCATATTTACAAATATGAATAATCATTTGAAGCATATTGTATGTTTTATACACAGTGAAAATAGCCTATATTTGACCAAAATTCCAGAATCACCTGCAAGCGGACTATCTAGTGTGGTGAATGTTTATATGGTTGTAAATGAATGGGACGCTAAATGTAATTTTGGCTTTAATAAGATTTTCATAATAAATTGAATAAACCTGGTGTCCTCCATGATTCCTGTTCTTTCCGACAACAAAGCACTTGAATGCGACAAGCTCGTAATCACAACTTCAAAAGTGGGAAGGAGAAAATTTCCGATAACACACAAAGGCGTTGTTTCCTTAATTTATGACTTAATTTCTCTGAATCTCCTGCACTGTGCGCTTACAGCCGCACACCGTGACACATATATAGCTGCAAAGTGATGGTGCAGCTGCTTCACAATAGCATAATTTCCATAGAGACGTTTAAATTGGCCTACAGAAATAGCTAAAGAGCCATAATCACACTCTTGGGATTTGTACATCCACAGTGTTTTTGTTATATTTTATTTTTTACCTTTCCAGTATTTTCTGTCTATTTTCTTTTCTCAAGCGGAGCTGCAATAGCAAACAGGCGCAGATGAAAGGTGCCTTGTTGGCGAGGCAGGTCCATGTTTCTGCGGTGTCACTCCTCATTAGCTGCCAATGACTGACTCTGATTTGCCATGGAGGAGACAACCTCAAAATATCTGCCTCTGCAAATATCTCACACTCGATGTGTAAATGCCAATGGGAACTCTATAGCCCTGGTCTGAGAGAAACCTCGGATATGAAGAATGACAAAGCCAAAGACTGACATATTCCAAGCCCAGTTCAGTTGCTTGCTAATGTGACCGCTAATAATTAATAGTGCAGCTCATTTCACCTCTAAAAACCTAGGGAAAAATCTGCCATTTTGAAATACTTTTTTTTTTTATACACCACAAGAAAACAATTTAGTTTTTGTTAAATGTCAAATCCAGAATTAACATTTACAAAATTACAATTAAAAACATGTTGTCATTGTTCTAACGCCATAGATATTACTTTGAAAATCATTAACCCTAATTATGAGTAATATAGCAAACACTACTAACCAGTGGTCTGTCAATTACACAGCATTTCATATTTAGTTAATAGACATGACAGCACTAGAGACCAGGCGTGCTGGAAGCTGTTTCATGCGAGGGGGGCTGAGGGCTGGGTTGGAAAATATGTGACGTCATTGTGTTATGGCTGACGACAAGACATGACATTTCTCTGTATATGTTGTAGCCATTAAAGAAAACATATTTAGTTTCATATTTATGTTTAAATATTATAGGCTAATGTTATTTTTTATTTAATCAATGTTGATTATGAAAGTGAGCGCGCAGCGTGAGAAAGACATGATACATGAGATCATGAAATACCCAAAATGTCTGGAGACATGTCACGAGGAGTGGGTAAGACATGATTTTTACCTTCACTAAGTTTTTTTATTGTTGTTGTTGTAGAAAGACTCTTTTAAAAATATTTTCGTTTAGTATAAATTGTATCTTAATTTTGATATGTTTTATCAAACAATTGCCTGTATTTAATAGCTAAATAAGAAGCAAATATAGCAGACAATGTAAGGCGCCGGTGATCACTTGCATTGCAGGTAAACTGGAGGGCGCCGAAACTCAGCTTGTGCCTCACAGATTTTATAAATATAGGATATCTATTAGCTTGAAATGTCTTCTTTTAAACGAAACTATTCAAAACGAAAAGAAATAGACTAGGCCTACTCTCTGATTATGTAATCAAATGTGCATTTCTCTCTGGCGTTCATGGCGAGTCCGCATAACTTCATCTTTGCAGCGACACAGAAAACACCTGTTAATTAATAAACAATTAAATGTCTCCTTGCTATTTTTGACACATTAATAATCATTACTTTCGCCGGTTCTTTGTGGCAAGGTTTATGAGTGCGGGCGTGTAGCCTATTTAAGTAATTACATCAATATAAAGGGGCGATGTGTCCACAGTGGCTAAAATGAACAACTACTAATCGACTAGAAGAAAACTTTAGTCGGAGGCAGCCCTTATTCCACATATTTTCGAACCAGCAGGCCATTCTGGGTTGAGCGCGCGACCCTGAGCGGAATGAGCGAGCGGAGGGATTCAGAAATGCGCTCTCCGCTCACATGCTCTGATCGGAACAAACTAAGCATGACAAATTCAAACTTTATTTCATTTTCTCCGTAGCTTGAACACTCAAACACAGCATGTCTATTTTCATTTTTCCCCCCACGTTTTTTAGTACAATATTATGTTAGTCCACAGCCCCCACCAAAGGGGCTGTGGCTATGACGAGGGGGCTGCAGCCCCCGCAGCACCCCCCTTCCCGCGCTACTGGTAGAGACATATCTGGAGGCTGTTGTACTGTGATTGGATGAATTATGTTTTTCTAGCTATTGAATTACCATTACCTTCACTTTAGAATTTATTATACGTTATGCATTATTCAGGTTAATTATGAACCTGTATATAGTAGTTCTAAGTAGTCCTCTGGGAGGTATGAAAAAAAAAAATAGTAGTTCCTGTTTAGCTAATAGTGACCTACCACATTCGACTATTACTTACTAATTATTTAATCAGAGTTTCTTGTTAGTTAATAGTAGTTACTATATTGTTAATATTGCATATTTGTTCCTGCAGTTAATCATTAATGACTGAACAGTATTCTAAAGTGTTACCGAATGTTTTTATTTATTCCTTAAATGATGGGAGATTGGAAGCAAACTAAATTGTATTTTGGTTTATATAACTAAAAGTACTAAAAGCTGGAAAAGCCACACCATGACCCAAAAACATCTCAAAGAAGCTAAAACAGGTTTATGTTTAAATTTAATTTCCTGATCATTGCTTTATGTTGATGTCCAAAATATTGTTTCATTCATCTCTGAAATATATCTTCCACAGGTACGTCCACACAAAAACATCTGGACGATCAGTAAACAGATTTGTTGCGCTAACATTAGCAGTCTGTAAATGCTCGGGACATACTGTAGCTATAGCTTGTGAAGAACTGACAGTCCAAATGCTCCACCCATGTCAAAGGCAGCTCCGATTAATTAAATGTGCAGTCTGACCTTTACTATTGTGTGGAAAACACAGGGACATGTGAGGAGAAAGGACAGATTTCTGGCCAAGGGCTCAATCTAAAGCAGGTGCACGGATGGCTTAAACACATTCCGACATGTTTAATGCAGGAGATTTATACAAACACATCTGTCTGAAAAAAACTGTCATATGAGAGGGTTCTTACAGTTCCTGACTGATGTGAAAATGCCTATGATTAGATGTAAACTTAAAGGATTTGAGAGGCACATGTGTCCCATGATGGAGATTTTTATACGGACTGAATGATCTCATGAAAGTAAGACATATTGAACAACTCAAATTTGCAGTTTAATTTGAACCTGAATATGATTTCACAAGCTTTAATGGAGACACATATTAAATATAAGTAAATATAGCCTAATACAAGATGAAAACCTTCTGTAAAATCAACAAGGCTGTAAAGGAAAAATTCAGCCCAAAAGGAATGTTAATATACTTTTATGTCATTCCAAGCCAATGCGATTTTCTTTTTCCTATTGAATACAAGGAGAATTTTAAGATATTTTTCAGTAGAAAGCTTCCTCTGCCCAGCAACTCTCAAATCCCATCCCATTCTCCATCCTGCATATTCAGCTTAGCAGATATTGTTGAGTTGTATGTTCTTCACACATTGTCATTTTGTTTTTTACAGAAGAAAATAACAGCACAGGGGTTTCCCTTGTGAAAAAGAGATGTACTTCAGTGTACACCTTTTTCCAGAACTTGTAGTGTACTTCAAATCTTAATAGTGTGTGTACAGTACTACAGTACTTAAAAAAAAAACATATAAAAGGCCGCTTATTTAAAGAGAGTACTTTCATGACCATTTCTTTACACACATACACTTTTAAAAAAGTTAACTTTGTAATAATGTAAAATTAAAAGATATACACGTAAAAGTATTTACATCTCTATGTTTAAAAAAGACACTTATTTTGATGTGTTGACTAAAATACTGCAACACATGTAAAGTACATGATTATGATTTTAAATTTGTATTATTATATTTGATATTACATGTAAAGTTAATATATATTTAAATGTATTAAATTGCAACTTCATTACAAATGTGTAATTACAAATACATTTAAATACATTATACAAGTTTCAACAGAAATTATATTCAAGTCAAATTTAGTTTAGCATAAATGCTTCAGTACATTCTGCAGTGCAAGCATATTTCAAAGACAGTAGAAGTAATTATGAAAGATTTACTTAATAAGTATATTATTTTAAAGTACATCTGTCATACGAACTCTTTTTAAAAGTAAGTTGAAGAGTACTCTCATGAGAGTGAGTAGATGACAGAGTTTTCATTTTTGTATAAAATATTTATTTAATGTCATCATCAACAAAATGGAAATAATTGGACTACACTGGCATGCCATTAGTAAAAACACATGAGTACATTAACAGTCACACACAGGTTGAGGTTCAGAAGCTGCTGTACTTGGTCAGGTCTTTCTTCATTTCATCATATTGAGCACTGAGTCGGCCCACAGCTTTAGCGTGCTCCTCATCCACCTCTTCCTTTAGACGAGACTGCTCCTTAAGGAACTCCTCCCAGTCCTGCTTCCGCCTCTCCAAACACAACTGAAGATGTGTGCTCTGATCACACACACACATCAACACAAGTTACTTATGCCAGTTACTTATAATCAGCTGTCACAAGAATGTGTTTGCAATTGACCATAACAAATATAGTCGCTTTGTTTGCAATATAGCTACTGCATACTACACAGTGTACAATGCCTTCCATGTTTAAAGATAGTTAGTGAAACAGTATACTTCAGACAAAGATAAATATTTAAATCGGTAGACTGCTACACTGCTGTCATATCACCTCTCCCAAATGTTTAATTCGGTTTATGTTCTGTTTTTGGACTTTTAGTTATTTTTTCATTGTTTCCCTGTGTTTCTGTACCTGCGCCCTTTGTAATTCATAATTACTAGGGATGCACGATATATCGACCACCATATCAGTATCGGCCGATATATGTTCATTTTTAAAGTTATTGTTATTTGCTCAATAAGAAAATTAGGCATATATATTAAAGCCGATAAATACATGATTATTTCCTCCAGCTGGGACACTTCAGATGTGCACTTTTCGCCATTATGAATTGCTTGAAATATTTATATATATTTGTAATCACGAAAATGAAAATATAGTTAAGTCCAACATGTGCAGCGTAAGTCTGTCATATAGATTATAATGAGAAGACTTAGACTATGCGGTAGTAAAGCGCTTCAGTTTACCAGTGATCATATTTAACTTCAGCTCACGCAATGTACAACATTAATAACTATGATTTGGACTGAAGGAGAACACTATTGTAATAAAAAGTTTTTAATTATTTTGGTTTAGTTGCCGTGTTTCAGCACGTTGTTACGGAAAGAGCGCATCCTCAACAGGAGTTACGCATTCTGACAAGCACGTAACTTCTTGTGCATTTGCGTCTTTATGTGCAGGTATAAGTTGTAATATTGTGTTTATGTTGCATAAATATCTGGTTAATCTGATATAGGATATGTTACGTTGAGTTAATTAACTTGCTAACAAAGTACTTCAATTAACCAGTGTTTATTGAGCTCTTCAGCTTCAGCGCACGCAGCTCAAACAATGCTGTTATTTGAAACAGTAATATTAATTTAAGATGTTTCATTTTCAAAAACATTAGTGCATTATTGATAATAACTAGCAGTTTTATTTTTCATCAACAATATGGTTTAATTACAATCATTTCATTATTGTCCGTGCAAAGGCTATTTTTTTTATTTATCCATGGCACATGCATTTTGATTCTTTATACATGTTGTCCAATAAAACAATTTAGGCAATAGATTTTTTTCTGATAAATAAAGTTGGTTATAGGAGTTTAGGGTTAGGGTTTTGCTTACGCCGAGGACGGATACATAAAGAGGATGTTTACGCTGCTTTACTCAAGGAACAATTAATACTAAAGCTAATTAGGAGATCTACCTTTATGCAAAGTTTAGGTTGCGCCCTATATAATGATGCATTTCTATCTTCCTCATGTACCTCTTCAGCCTCTAGCTCCCTCTGCTGGATCCTCTGCGCCATATGATTCGCTGCTTCAACTGCAAATAGAAAAGCACTTGTCAACACAATGTTAATTATTCCCATAAATACACTAATTATTTTAACAAAAACGATTTCACTCAGACAGCCAGACAGCCAGATAAAGGGGTTGACAATAAAACTGAAACACTGGCCAATATAGTGTTTGAGGTTTCAATCTTCACCGATTCAACATTCCATCAGTAAGTGCAGAGGGTGAATGTTGAATTAGCAGAGCAATAGCACAGCTGTACATAAAATATTGCAATCCACACAACATAATGGGATACATATCAGACTTCAAAAGAGGACAAATTGCTGGTGCGTGTCTCGCTGGCTCATCTGTGACTAGGACAGCGAGTCTTTGTGGTGTATCGAAAGCCACGATATCCAGGATAATGTCGGCATACCTCCACGAAGGACAAACCACATCCAACAAGAGTAACTGTGGATGCAAGTGGAAGCCGTCTGAAAGAGATGTCTGTTTAAAATTGGGCTGCAATTTCATGGCATTCTCTATGTGAGCGTCACTACCAAGGACTAACAAACCATTCTGGAGGTCCATGTGCACCTAATGGATCAAACATTCTACCCTGGCCTGAAGGTGAGGATGACAATACACCAATACAAGACTGGAGACAGAATGGTTTGATGAACATGAACATGAACATGATGAACATGAAAGTGAAGTTCAACATCTCCTATGGCCGGCACAGTCACCGGATCTACATATTTTTGAGCTACTTTGGGTAATTTTGGAGGAGCAAGTCAAAAAAACGTTTTCCTCCACCATCATCACATTGTGACTGTTCTAAGAGAAATAGCTCAAAATCCCTCTGGCCAGTGTATCTGTCTTGTATTTGTCGTTCCTAAGATGAAGTGATGCTGTATTGGCTGCAAAAGGAGGCCCTACACCATACTAATACATTATTGTGGTCTAAGACCAGTGGCCTGTTGCACAGAGCTGGTTTCAGTTGCTACCCAGGGAAGTTCAACATTTGTTTGAGCAAACTCTGTTTTTTCGGGCTCAAGAAGGTGGATTGGTTTTTAGCGGGTTTCATCACCATGGAAACTTACGCTACATGGCTAACCTGCTCCAGACCAGGTTTTATTCTGGGTTAGAGATCGCAGACCCAAACTGGACCAATCAGTACAGTGACATGAATCTGATGCAATAAAGCCACTCCCCTGTATCTCTCGCTCCAAATTAAAGCAGTTTATAGTGATAAAAGACAACATTTCTCATCTTTTGCTGCTAATTATTTTTATTTGTGTATTATATTAATTATAATTACTTATAATATAGCCTATTAATTGACAAGTTTTTGAATTAGAATTATAATTTTTATTTCGAGCAATATAGTGACATATAACAAAGGCAATAAGAAGCATTTGATTTTTAACAACATAAATTAAACAATTGCTCGAAACGGAGTGGGAAGAAGTCGGACAAGTAATATTAAACTTTGCTTTTAAATTAATATAAATATAATACATGCATTCATATATAATGCTTTTAAACAACATGTATTAATTTGAGCTATTTGTGAACCTATAATTATTAGGCCTATTTCTTTGATTCACATCATGCATTGATATAGTCAGATATTTCCTTTCAGCTGCAGTCTCAAACTTTCGCTGCAGCAGCAGTGTTTATTCCTGCCTTGTAAACGCATTTAATTTCATGATAATTTTCTAAATGGTCACTTAATCTTCAGCAGAGAAGTGAATTACACTGTCTCTCTCTAGCGAGAAGTTCTAGAATGTTCGGTGTGATTGGCTGTTTGCTAGCCTGGTTAAAACCAGACCATTCTCAGTTGTAACTGAGTTATGGTCTGGCAAAGCGTCATAGACAAATCATTTCCAGAGGGGCGTCACCAACGGACGTCGCGGATAGACCTAAAACCAATCAGAGCGATGAAGGAGATGACGTATGCAGAGCGGCGGAGAAACATCTCCGACTGTTGTTCTTTGCTCGGTTTTTAACAAAAAGGAAACGTTCAAATCGCTTAAAACAGACGCGATAGCTGATTCGAACGAGTGATGTTCGACGGCGGCATCCATCTTTGTAATGTAGGCTACAAAATCTGCTTCAAAATCCCAGCGCTGTCGTCATCGTGTAAAGCCCGCCCCAACGTTTCTGATTGGTGCCTCGATTTCGACGGATTGGAAATGGGCTTGAATGAGCTCTTTGCCAGACTAACTTTCAGAGCAAATCTAAATTTGCCGGAAGTTGTCTGGGTTTTCCCAGGCTAGCTGTTTGCCACACTTGTCACACTTTCAGGTGCACGTGCTTCAAAGTTAATCTCAAACCTAAATTGACAGAGAACGTTTATACCGAGCTTTGTGAGACCGCTGAACCTGATCTAAACCAGGTTGGATTTATAAACTCAGGTTTTGTTCAGCTAGCTTCGTGCAACAGGCCACAGGTGTTTTAGTTGCAATGTCCAACCACTGTAGATTATTACACAAACACAGTGGCCCTTTTCTCTTCCTGTTCTGTCTGACACTTCATCACACTCTTTATTATACCTAACGAAACTTACGTCGTGTGAGAGCGTCACACAGTTTCTCATGCATATTCTCAGTGCACTGCGGCAGATCATGCTCATTAGTGTCTGACGTCATCTTATTCAGCTTTTCAAGTAGACGGCATTCTCTGAAAGCACGCTTCTCCTGAGGGAACACAAACATTTGTAGTGTAAATTCGGTTGCTGTCAGTACGTCACAGATCATTTGGTTGCAACCATTATGTTTCATTAATTCATTTTAAAAGCAAGTATCAAAATAAAAGGTGTTAAAAATGTAATGTAATAAAAGCAGGCCTGCCTCAAACTCCCTGATGAAGTATCTGATTTCACCTTGCAGGACCGGCCTGTGATCAATCAGTCTGGACTGAATATCACCAACATCTGTGACGAAAGAAATACTGTGACATTAAAAAAATATCACAATTTTAAAAAGGAGTAGCAAATTAAACAAGACATCTAATGTGTTTTAAACTACATTCATTGAATTAATTTTTTTATGTTAGTTGATAGTTTATCTAACATATGTAATAGTTTTTACTATGACAAATGTGTCTTTAATGCTTTAATGACAATACTTCTAGTTAATAGCATTAATAGACATCACTGGATTTCATAATGATTAAACGTGTGTTCAATATAATTATCCATTAAGATTATTTTTTGAATTATAGTATAACTATTGAATCTAAAAATGTATTATTATAATTAAGGATAAATATTTTTAATATAATAAATAAAAAAACCTAGGAAAAAATGTTCGTACACGTTTTTGTGCATTTTGATGTGCTGTCAGCAGCATTTTTGCCCATCATATTTATATAAATGTATACTAGTGTCATTATTTAGCTCAATTCAGTGTAATTGTTTAGTGACTTCATTCGAACGAGCTAACGTTAGAGGTCTATTTTAGGAAGCTCACTATACTTTGAGTCACACACAGCATTATGGACAAGTGCTGATATCTGCAAGTGTAAATATCAATACAAATTTGAATCTCAGATCGCTTTATCTATATTGGCTGCAAATATAAATGTTTAAAATGCGTAATACTGCACATTATCAACAACATAACTCACCCTTAACTATCTTTTCCATCGTCAAGAGATGCAAGTTAATCTGACAGCCTTACACGATGATATTTAATATTCTGTCAAATTGTTTTCGATCCACAAACTCTGATGACTGGGGAATGTAAATGACTAAAATGTTTCTTTACAGATTGATACAGACAAAAGTGGGCTTTACCAGAGAATGTTTACATACTTCAAAAAATCACGTGCAAATAATAACAGGAAATAACTGCAAACTAAAAGCCCTGAAGTGAACTCCAAAATAAAAGTGGCTTTATAAGACAAAAGTCCTTACAGGACAAAGTTAGCCCAGCCACAGCCCTGTTTGAAGTTATATGAACTTTAGACTCCTGCAAAACCGAGGAAAAACAACACTGAACCTTATTGACTTGTATGGAAAACAACAACAACAGCAGCAGCAGGAACAACATGAGAGTGAGTAAATAATTTTTTTTTTATTATTCTTAAACATACAATATTAGTAAAAAAATAAAATCTAATATAAATTAATTCCAGTATTACTAGTAGTAGCTGTGCAATTAAATTAGACTATTCTGTATATTCCTACATTTCTACCACTGAGGTTCCCAATATGACCAAGATTCATTCTCTCTGCTGCCCCCATGCAGCGCGTCTGCAGTGATGCTTGTTTATTATCAATAACTTAAAAAAAAAAATTAAGCTAGCTTTATTCTCATGCTAAGTATTCTCAAATAAAGTCTAAAAATGTAAAGAATAATTGACATTCAGTTATTTGTAACTGCATCATTTCATTCAGATTAGCTTTTTTGTCTTATAGAGCAATGCCTTTCGGTTTGAAGAGATAAAACTCGACCTGACAGATTTTAAACACCTGAGACCGAATGTCCTTTAAAGATTTGTTAATGTAGGCCTACGTAACAGTTGCCAACAGACACGGTTTGACAGAAAGCACAAAAGTTGAGAAGTTCAATGAATTTAATACATAGGCCTACTCCGAAAGTATGGGAATTCTGATGCAGCCATAAACTTTACAACAGCATTTTATTTATTCATTTTAATAGCAAGTGTCAGAATAAAAGGTTATAATATAATAAAAGCAGGCCTTCCTCCTCCAGTTCCCTGATGAAGAATCTGATTTCTCCCCGCAGGACTGGCCTGTGATCAATCAGTCTGGACTGCTTTCTTCCTTACAAAACAGGGTGTGGGATAATTCATCAGAACATATTACTTTTTCCAGGTATCCTTGTGTCTCTGTGCTACTGCCTCGGATACAAGTGATTTTGCAGCAGCACCCCGGCCGTAAATTCCATCCTGGTCAAGCCCAGTATCATTTTTTTTATGGATCACCTGGGTGCTGGTGTTATTCAGTTGTTTTAGAGACTGTAGTTTGTGAAATTCAGCAGCTGTGTGTCCATATAAGTGAGCGCTGAATATACTCACTGACTGTTATTCACTCAATCTGCAAATCAAATGTTCAACGTGATACAGTTCTTTGTGTGCTTGCAGAGGTAACTCAGAAACAGTAAAGAATATTATCACTGCAACATATTTACTACTGCAAATGACATTATTAAAATTGTAGTTAGTAACGTAATCTATTACATTACACATTTGAATGTAATCTGACTTCTTTTTGATTACTTTTGGATGACTTTTGACCCAACTTCTTTATAACATTGATTTGAATGTTACAATCTTCAACAAATGATCTATTTTTTTTTGTTATAAACATGAAGTTCATTAAACATTGCATTATGTCGGGGTTTACCAAACTAGGGTTTGTTAAAGAACTGCAGGGGGTTCGTAAATTGATGAAAAGCTAATAAATCTTAAAAATGTTAAATAAAAAAAAAGTGTCATTTTAAAATTAAAGCAATCAAAATAAAACAGTAACCAACAAAATGTTTATATTTTATTTGTTTATGTAGTGGGCCTCCCGATTATCTAAGTAATTATAGTCACCTGACTAGTGGCCGGTCTGTGTGTGCAATTTCACAAAAATTGCACTGTAAAAAATATTTTCATGATTTGTTATCACATAATTTTTTATTTTGTCAAATCAACTTAGATGATTTATGTGGTTCAAATAACATAATATTTTGAGTTTCTATTGATTAAACAGCTGTAACTAAACCATTTTTTTTATTTCAATGAACTTAAAATTTTAAGACAAACAATTTTAACTTACTTTTTTAAGTTAAACCAACAATATTTTTTTTACAGTGTGGAAGACAACGTTTTTTTAAGAATGTTTAGGGAGAATATAGGGGGGATCTATGAATTCTAAATAATTGACTGCCATTTTATTAAGTAATCATGTAATCAATAAAAAAGTAACTGTAATCTGATTATGAGTATTTTAAAATATAATCTAATCTAACAAGTATTTATATTTTGGAATATGGTTATGCAATCCACAGATTACATATAATGAGTTATACCCACTGAATGCCTGTTATATACAGTGGTGTGAAAAAGAGTTTGCCCCCTTTGTAAATATGATCAGAGATGGCTGTAAAAAATAAATCTGCATTGTTAATCCTTTTGATATTTTATTTAAAAAATGTGAAAAAATCTAACCTTTCATTGAAGTAAAAGAATTGAAAGTTGGGGGAAAATCACATTATGAAATAAATGTTTTTCTCCAAAGCACGTTGGGAACAATTATTTGCCCCCTTTTATTAAATACTTTTTGCAACCTCCTTTTTCCAAGATACCAGCTCTGAGTCTTCTCCTATAATGCCTGATGAGTTTAGAGAACACCTGACAAGAGATCAGAGACCATTCCTCCATACAGAATCTCTCCAGATCCTTCAGATTCCCAGATCCATGTTGATGCTTCTTCTCTTCAGTTCAGCCCACTCATTTTCTATAGGGTTCAGGTCAGGGACTGGGATGGCCATTGCAGATGCTTGGTTTTGTGCTCAGTGACACATTTTTGTTTTGATTTTGATGCTTGTTTTTGGATTACTGTCCTGTTGGAAGATCCAACCACGGCCCATTATAAGATTTCTAGCAGAGGCTGTCAGGTTTTGATTTTTTATCTATTGGTATTTGAACGAATCCATGATGCCATATATCTGAACAAGATGTCCAGGACTTCTGGCAGAAAATTAGGCCCACAACATTAAAGATACAGCAAAATATTTCATTCTACACATGGGGTACTTTTTATCCCTGTGTGCACCAAACCCATCTTAAGTGTTTGCTGCCAAAAAGCTATTTTTTTTGTTTCATCTGACCATAGAACGTTTGAAAAGTAACTGACACTACAGGAACTTCAAATGGGATGGGTTCTATGGTCAGATGAAACAAAAAAATTAGCTTTTTTGGCAGCAAACACTTAAGATGGGTTAGGTTCATACAGATATAAAAAGTACCCCATGTGTAGAATGAAATACTCTGCTGTATCTTTAATGTTGTGGGCCTAATTTTCTGCCAGAGGTCCTGGACATCTTGTTCAGATATATGGCATCATGGATTCGTTCAAATACCAATAGATAAAAAATCGAAACCTGACAGCCTCTGCTAGAAATCTTATAATGGGCCGTGGTTGGATCTTCCAACAGGACAGTGATCCAAAAACAAGCATCAAAATCAAAACAAAAATGTGTCACTGAGCACAAAACCAAGCATCTGCAATGGCCATCCCAGTCCCTGACCTGAACCCTATAGAAAATGAGTGGGCTGAACTGAAGAGAAGAAGCATCAACATGGATCTGGGAATCTGAAGGATCTGGAGAGATTCTGTATGGAGGAATGGTCTCTGATCTCTTGTCAGGTGTTCTCTATACTCATCAGGCTTTATAGGAGAAGACTCAGAGCTGGTATCTTGGAAAAAGGAGGTTGCAAAAAGTATTTAATAAAAGGGGGCAAATAATTGTTCCCAACGTGTTTTGGAGAAAAACATTTATTTCATAATGTGATTTTCCGCCAACTTTCAATTCTTTTACTTCAATGAAAGGTTAGATTTTTTCAATTTTTTTAAATCAAATATCAAAAGGATTAACAATGCAGATTTATTTTTTACAGCCATCTCTGATCATATTTACAAAGGGGGCAAACACTTTTTCACACCACTGTATCACCATAATTAAATCTCACAGAAATTATCTTTTAATATTTATGCGATTGGAATCAGAAAAACTATTCAAGTAAGTTCCTGTATTAATAACCTCACGTCACACTCAACATTGTATCCACCTATTCAAAATTTTGCAACACATTTGTTTATTTATATTTATTATTTATTTTTGAGCTTTTCTTAAAAAAAACACACACAATTTACATTGGCACTAGATGGAGACAAAGTATTACTTAGCTACGATTTTCTGGCATACTTTAGTTAAATGACTGAACAGTGATGACAATGAGGAAAAATAAATGAACACTCCAATACAACACATATTTAAGTTCATATGAACATTTTTCTTCATCCAGGTTATTGTATAATTATAATAAACATTTATTAGGTAGATCTGGTTTAACATATTTCTATTTAAATGAAATTATGAAGCCACATGAATGGGCAGATATTTATTAAGAATGATACATTAAAGGTGTATTTATGTACAGTGTACATCTGAAGATTCACACAATCTTCGAATAATATGTATTTCATCAAATGCATAGCCTATACTGATTCAGTCCCTGCTATAATACACTCTCATTACACTCTTTACTGCCATTTATTTACAATTATTTCAATACATATTAACATATTTATAATTCGATTTCCTTTTAGCAAGGCATTAACTTATTTAGCACAATTTTAATAATATTGGGTTTTCTTAAAAAAAGAAGAAGAACATTTACATCTTTAGGAGCAAAAAAGAAAAGAGTTGACAGAAACAAGATCATTGGACATCTGCATTTTTTTCTTGTTTTTTACTATAAATAGTATATTTTGCATTCCGTATGTTGAGAGTGAGAGATTATTGCTATAATGAGAATGTGTCTCTCAGCATCATCATCTCTATTGCAGGCAATGCTGAGCTTCATGAAACCAGCATCAGCGCACATACACAACGGGGATCTGTGTTTTTACAATGCAGGGACTGACATTCAAATCTTAATGTTTTGGGTCCCATAGACCCTATTGTTAACATTTTTCATTGTTGGGGGTTAGATGGATAGACAAGTTTAAAATCTTGTTTATCATCAATCCTGATTAGGATTAGGAAAAGT